AGATAAAGGAACCCACTTAGTGACTTTCGCATGCAAAAATGAAAAATCGAGATTCAACATGCTGTTAGTAAGGGCATGCTACCTAAATGAGGATGATGCGAAAAATAATGTAAAGAATGCATTAAGAGTATGGATACAGTTTGAAAAATGGACCCCATATAAGAACCCCCTAAATGGAAAATATAAAAATTATAATATGCCAAGAAATGATTATAACAAATATTCCTACCGACATGAACACACCATAGATAAAGGTAGTTATTCACGGAGCTACAGAAACCCACCCTATGATGATTACCCAAAACATAGAACTGATTCTTACAGATATAGTGGAAATGCACATAGAAAAATCACCCCCCTTTCAAATTATTACCATCATAATGCCGATGATAGAAGTCGAAGAAATTATGACAATGTGAAAAATTCCTATGGAAATAGATCCCCTTCTCCTGCTCCACAATCACATTACAACAAATATAAGAAAAAATATTCCCGTTCTCCGACCCCTAAAGATTATTATAAAAAGAAATTTAGAAGATCCAGATCGCATGACATACGCAAGGAGGAAAGGAATTCCCACTGGCGTAAAGATAAGAGCAGAGCATACCATTAGGCGTTTCTGTGTGTGTGTGTGGCAGGGGGGGAGCGCCACGGAGGGGCTATACTTGCCACGTATATATAAATATATATGTTGTATGTATTTTTCCTATATGTGTAGTGCCGGGGGGCCGGATGCGCCGAGGAGAAGCATTTTGTTTCCGTCGCGCGTGTTTGTGTTCATCTGTGCACGTGTTTGTGCCTTTTACCTAGGTGTGCACACGGGGACTCGGTCTGTCTAGGCCTCAAAACAAATTGTTTTTGTATTGAGTGAGACAGGGGAGGCATCGGTCAAGGGCGCATGTAGCTCGTGAGCGTGCGTCCACTGGAAGAAGTCCCAAAAGTGGAAAAAAGCACGGGAGTTTAGATAGTTGCGAAAGTGCGGCAAATTCGGCACACGCGGCAATTGTAGCAATTGTAGCCATCGCAACCGTCACACCAATTGCAGCAATTGCATAAATAGCTGCTGTCCACCAGCTGAGAGCAGGCGTTTCGGGCGATTGCGCCGGGACGAGTCCATTCATATGTAATTCAAAAGAGTTGGTCGGTTCGCTGGTTGGTTGCTTTGCTGACTGGCTGGCGGACCGGCTTGTTGATCGTCCGCTTCTCTTTCTAGAGCTGCAAATCATTTGTATTTTTGCGGGAAGTTCGTCGGAATTCTTCCTAGACACATATGCATGCGCGTTTAAGGCGGCACAAAGCAAACAACTCCCACAGATCCTTTTTCATGTAGCTTTCCCTTAGCATTTATTGTTCCATAGTTTCCTGAATTGATGGCATCACGCTTAAGGGAATTAGCTCGAGATGTAATTCCACATTTTTCCTGTTTTTTCGCCTAGCTGCTTTTTGCCCATTTTTTTACCCTATTTTTTGCCCCATTTTTTTACCCCATTTTTTACCCCATTTTTTTTACATTTGTTTAATAGAAAAACATAATTGCAAATCTTATTGTAGTGAATTTACCTCAGTTTTTACCTTTTATATGTTATTATTTACTCGTTTGAAGTTCATACGACTCATCAATTTAGGTAACCTTAACATTGACGTTAACACATTGGAGTAACACAGATATGTAATAGAAAAAGATGACCATTTTAAGGTGGTGTAAAATGTAGACAGGGGGATAAGAACAGGTATTTTGCTGCTCCAAATGGGGAGGGGTACAGGGCCGCTTAGGGGGTAACCCAAAAGTGCACCTCAAACAGAGTTGTTCGCAAAAAATTGTCATCATAATGGCTGCGCTGTTTGGTACAGGATTAGTCCACACAGATAATACACATCGGAATACCCTTTGACAGGTCACTTCTGTGAAAAAGGTCCCCCAAAAAAAAATAACACAAATGTATATTTTGCTTCTCCACATGGGATTACGAAGGAGTAAGTTTTGTCCAACCCCTTCGCCCCATGTGCGATAAAATTTTGTTTTGAAATTAAAAAAAAATGTTTCCTCTTCATCTGCAGCAGCCTTGCTGACGAGGGTGATCTAGGAAGAGGGAAAACTTAGACATCAGTTGTCATCACGCATAGTTTATGTTGAAAGGGGCAGATCGGTGGAACGTGCATTCATAAAAGTATCCGTGTGCATACAAAAAATTTCAACCCGAATTCGCAATTTTGCGGAGAAAAAATATTCCCTTTTCTGGTAATTGGTTACATGCCTTATTTTTTTGCAGGGGCGTCTCAAGGATGCTAACTGAAGGGAGGAAGGTGACACTTGTGCTTCGTCCTTTTTGAGGGCACATCGTTGTCTGCATAAATGCCGAGTCTGTTCATTCTATTTTATGTTTTTCCCCATAGGAAAAGTCCATCGTTCTTGTGAGCCCATTTGTTGGTGTGCTAACCCCCCCTCTCGTCCGCTTTTTTTTTTTATAACGCCTTCTAAAAGGGCTTACAAATTTTTCGAAAGAATGAGAGATAAGTATTTTACATACCTATCTCATAAGAGGAAATTTTCGAGCTCGATAAATTCTTGCGTATTTAATCGAAGTTCTAATTTTTCTTCCTCCTTATTTTCCGTCGCCACAGTGTTATCAGCTGTTTGGATCTTATCGTCATCGGCGTGAGGATCCCAAACGGTTTCTTTTCTGCCCGCTTGCTTTTCTATGACATTATTTATTATGTTTAGGCAGATCCTCGTGATGTTCTTTTTATTAATATTGAGTTTTTGGATGGCACCCATCTGCATTAATTCGCCTATGTAACATTTGATGGTATGCAGATTGGCAGTGAGTCTTCTGTCTAGCAGTGCAATGTCTGAACGTTTTGCGGTGATATTCTTGTTCATTTCTTTAACTTGATTTTTTACAATTTTAATTTTGTTCTTCTTGTCTTTAAGTAGCAATCTCAAGTCATTATTATGATTTTCTTTTTTTATAAAAAAGTGATTTAAAATTGTTAATGTGGTGTTATTCTGTTCATTGTGTATGGCATTTTTTTTAATTACATCATTATATATTTCTTCCATACATTGTGTATTTTCCCTTATGAGAATTTTTTTTTTTTTCAATTCATCGAAGGTTTTAGTTATTTTCTTGTTGGCATTCTGGATGGCTTTACATAATTCAATGATGTCTTTTTTTAGCCTATTAATTTTTATGTCTTTTAGCACATTTTCTTTTCTTTTTTTTAGCAGAACTTCTTGTTGATTTATGAATTTTTCGTAAAGACTTTTTGAATAATTTTTTAGTTCCTGGATTTCTCTTTCCAGGTCCTGAATTCTTTTTTCCTTAAAAATGATGTTGCTTTCGATTTGTTTAATTTGGTTTTCCAGTTTACTCATTTGGACAAGGGTAGCAGATGGAGGAAATGGTTCTGCAGGTGGAGAAGCCGTCGTGCAAATGTGTGCATGGGGATAGAAGATTTGTGAAAATGCGTTAATGAGATGTCTCGCGGGGGTAGCCCTTTTTCTGGTGAAGCTTCCCGCACCTTGTCAGTGTTCCCTTCCGTTATGATTTCCTGTCAGCAGAAAGCGCTTCGTGAGGGTATTTTAGGGGGAAGAAAAGAGCCGGTTTGGAAATCTACGTTTGAGAAGTTTCCCTTTTTGTTACAGCTCGGAGGGGAGTTGCTCAAATGGGCATTATTAGTAGTAGCATCAGGCGTAGCAACAGTTGTAGCATCACGCATAGCAGACATAGACTCTGCCCCGTTTCGAGAGAACTACGGAAGGCGAAGTGCCCCTTCCACCGCTCATTATCTCCGTGGGAATTCTCCAAATTTAAAAGAAATACACCTTTTTAAAAACAAAAGAGGCAGAAGTTATCCCAATGAGTTGAAATGGAGGATTGGTAATCTGTGCACATGTGCCTATGAACACTGAATTAGGCACATTTCGTGAGGAAGGAACAAAAAAAAGAAAAAAAAAAGGGGAAAAAAAGAAAGAAGAAAAAAAAAAGAAAGAAGAGGAAGAAAAAAAAGCAGTTTTATTGTCACTCTTCACGGAGGACAATTATAAAATTTGAAAAAAAAAAATTCACAGTAACAAGTGTGCAATGTGGAAATTCTTGAAAAGCAGGAGAAATGTACTAACGCACGCTTAATTGTTTTTCAATAAAAATTGAGTTTGCGCGGAGTGCGAACGAGCTAGTAGGTACTTGAATTTTTAAACAACTCTTCTCCTGCGTCTTCTAGAAAGGAGTGTATAGAACACGCGCTGCTTGGTGGGGACTTTCCCTGACTTAGTGACTCGAGTTCTTCTTTAATCATTTCCTCACTATTTAAATTGCACTTGTTCGTCGTCTCGTCATCACTAGTGTTGCTTTCAGGATCATCCACAACTGTTTTGTAATTATTTTTTCCATCAAGATAGGCTTCTCCATTTGGTGAGTCTTGACTATGATAATATAACTCCTCTGCGGTGACTAAATTACACTGGCACATTTTGTCCACCTTCTCCTTTGTGCACTCTTTGGTTTCTTCAAAGATGTTGTATTTTTTGTAAAAGGCTAATAATGGGGCGAAGAATGCCATGGCACTTGTTAACACCGGGGTGGACGACACGGCACTTTGGGAGGCAACAGCTGCGGGTATGGCTGTGTTCGGTACGGCGGCTGACAGGGGGGCCGTTGATGATGCAACTGCCGGGGTGACGGCTGGGGAGAAACTAAAGGGGATGCAACCGCAACATGTTCCTGAGCTGATAGACCCAGTTAAAGCGGCTACGAAGGAAGTTAAATGGTGTGGCATTCTGACTAAGGCGAAGGAGAATATACGCATACACGTGTGGGTGGTTGGACTATTTTCTACTTATTAACAGCGGTGCGAAAAACTGCCATAAGGAAATTAGGAAGCGCTGAAAATGGATGTAATGTCTATGGGGGTAATTTTACGTAAACCAAAATTGTTCTCTTTTTTTTTTTTGAAATAAAAAGGGTGTCAGTGAAGTTTTATTCTGGTCATTTAGCTGTTTTTTTTTTTTTTTGCTACCTCGAAATGGCGCTCTTCCGTAGAAGGGAACGAAAAAAAGCACAGTGGCCGATCCTACGCAGTGTGTTACGAAGATTAAACTGCGTAGCTGTGATGGTACATGTTCATTTAAAAAAAATTTTAATCTCCGTGACCAAAAAATGCAACTTTTTTCTTTTGACTTTTTTCCTTTTATGGGGAAAATGAAGAAAAGCACTACCTACTACCCCCAAGGGAAGGAAACGCCTGTGTAATTTTTTCTGCTATATATCGCCACCGATTGGTGAGGGGGTCAACATCAACGTATGTAAGGAATATCACTACGCAGGGGAGTAAATATGCGCATATGTTTTTAATGCGAGACAGTGTGATATATCTTTGAAGGGGGAAAGAAAAGTGCCAAATTTTACATTTTTTAGGAAAAACATGTTACAGGGGGTATGCTGGTGACATGGGTGTAATAACCCGCTAATAATGCGCAGAAAGAAAAAAAAATAATAAGGGAACAACCCCAGAAAAACGTGCTTTTAATTTAGCTTAAAGGGGAACATGGAAGGGGAGTACATTTTAGCTTCTCCTGTGCATAGGTGTAGGCATATTGTATTAATGAGGGCTTAACATTGAGATGCATAAAGGGTGTCCTTTGCGAGGCATTTAAAAAAAATAGAAAAATGAAGAAACGCTTTAACCTGAGAAGAAACATTTTTATAAATCGAATATCCTCATTTTCATAAAATGATGACATGTCTGCAAAGGTGTTATTCGCCTAATATTGCATTCAGGTGTCCACAAATGTGAAGAATTTTTCTACCGCCTTGGTAAATTGACTTCTTCGTAAGTTTGCATACCGCGCTGGGGAACAAATGCATTCATTTCATAAGGGGAGGAAGCAAGCGGTCAGCAAATATATTTATAATATGGCAAAAACTAATCTCAGGACAGTAAAAAATGAACATAACGTGGGTGTTTTTTTTTTCGTAAGTTTTGAGTTCATATTCCTCCCTCGTGGCATTAAAATGAGGAATTTAATCATCTATCTTTGGGTAGGCGTTCTCTAAATTTTCTGCAAATATATATATATTTTTTTTTTCTTTGCATAAGATTGTTGCGCGATTGCTGTAACGATACAAGTTCATCAAAAATGGAGGCATCCCCTTTTGCTGAACCTGCCATTTCGCTGAACGATAATGGTTGCCTATTTAACGGTTATGCTTCCCATTTTTTGTACCGACTTGATTAAAATGTTTTTTTTTTGGCCATTCAGATAGAAACCGTTTTAGCACATATATTTTTTTAATATTAATAAAATTTCCCCTTTTAAGGCTGCATATATTTGTAAGCGGAATTTTCTACAAAAGTGTGTGTAGATAGCCCCCTTGTTTAATTTACCCTTTGAAATATGCTCCGCGCAGTAGCTTTATTTTTTGTGCCTTTCTTCTGTGACGGCAGCGACAAATGGTGAAAAAAAAATTTTACGCACCACACGTAAGGATGAGTTCGATTAACCATCGGCATGAGGAGAAAAATTATAGTGCCAAAACTATTTTTTTGTGAAGCGTGTATAAGTGAAACAAAGTAGGGGCGAATTTGTTAAGGGGAAACAGAAAAGAGCTTCCAGAAATATTGCTCTGCGTCACGTGGGGTTAATTGTGCGGCCATACCCTTTGCACGTACGCACAGGGAATGTGAGAAGCTCTAAAGATTTATGAACTTATCGGGGGAGGAACACAGCCCAGAACGCACAAAGTGTATTACTATGACCCAAGTTACAGCCATAGAAAGATGAGAACCACCGTTTTGTTGCGAAAGTGTATTTCCTCTAAATCGGTGGATATAAGACCCTTTCGCCAATCTGGGAAACGCGTATGCAGGTACGGGGGACTGTGCTTGATTTCGCTAGGCGGTTCAGTGAGAAGCGACAGGGGGGAAGGGACGAATCAGCGGAAATGACGTGTAGGGAGCACCACGAACGGAGCGAGAGAACGGGCAAAGCCGAGGAAGATAACGAAGATAACAAAGATAGCGAACGGACCTGTGACCTGCTACCTCATACTTGCTACTTCCTACCTGCTACCTCCTACTTGCTACTTCCTACCTGCTACTTCCTACCTGCTACCTCCTACCTGCTACCTCCTACCTGCGATCTGCTACCTGCGAACATGAACCACGTTAGGGGGAAAGAAGGTAAACCCTGAACTGCACAAAATGGATTCAAAAAACAACATGTTCTTTTGCAGCAACACACTGATGGAACACAGAAGAGTAACCAACAATTTCCTTTCCATGTGCAGAGAAGAAAGTTACGATTATGAGAGGCACCATGATGTCGTGTCGTTTATTCTATCCATGTTCCCTCTGTTAATAATAAGTGGGATTCACCTTTTGATAAAAACAAATGGTTACTACATTGGGAATTTATTCCTAATGATAACTTATTTATTTTCTTTTTCTTTCTTCATTTTGTATTATTATAATTCTTACGCAGTTTTTGCCCTATTTGTGTTTTCCTCCTTTTTCATATCATTGTGTTTACACGAATTTGCCCATGCGCTTGTTGCGTACAAGTACGGCGACATTACGATGGTTTACAAAGGCTACCTCTACCTGGACATTGTAAATTATTTAGACATTTTTCACACGCTCATAATACCATCGCTAATGCTGCTTACAACAGGCTTTGGGTTACCAGGAAATTTATATTGGCTTCAACTACACTTTATAAGAAGCAGATTTCAGATGTCCCTTATTTATTTATCGGGCCCGATATCGGACATTTTGTGTATCCTGGTAATTGTTTTTTTTTACAATTTTTACGCATACTTTAAGAATAGCAAAAATTTAAGTGTGCAGCCGCACTCAATTTTATTCATATCTCTTGCGACGGCTGCTTCTATCCTCGTGGATTCCTTTCTTTTAAACATTTGTCCAATTTTTGGCTTTGACGGATGGGGAATCTTGGAGCCCTACCTTCCCTACTGTGTAAATAGCCTGTAAGGAGTGAGCAAATCACCTCCTCGATGCGTGTTATTGCGCATATCATTGGACACCTGCGGGTGTGTATGAAGGCATATACACACATGTACGTTCTTCACCCTTTCGCCCTTCCTGCTAACATAGTGTTTCCGTTTGCGAAACATTAAGTTTATCCCTTACCCTTCTCCCTCCGCAGAATCAACGAAGAAATTGTGAACACCTATTTGTCTTACATATGCCCCCTACTGGTTTTTATATATTTTAACTTTATCGAAACGAAGTATCTCTTCTTCACAAGGATTGTTAACTTTATATTGGCGCGCCTTCTCGGAATTGAGATTTCGCACGTGACAATTGGAGTTAGCGCATTTCCGACGTTGTATGCGTACCTCAGAAATGTGTAGCGTTTCGAGGGGGTTCAGGGTTTCCCCATTTGCCATCTTTTCGAAGTTTTCTCTACCTCATTTTTGTGAATTTTTTTACCCCGTGTTTTTGTAACCTTTTTTTTCCCCTTATTATTTCCCCCTGAGCTCAAGTGCATAACGGGGTGTGTGCCATTTTTCCCATTAAGAGGTATGCGTGAAGTGGGCATGGAACGGCCCCCCAAATGGTCGTCTACCCCCATGCTTTAACGCTTGAATGTATGGAAAGAGAAACGGGAAATTGCACATACGTTAAGGAAGCCGTTACGATGGATAGCGGTTGGTCTGAGAGCCACTTCGCCTCCATTTGGCACCACTGAACGAAGCGATTCGGCATTGTGGCGCTTTCGTGGTGGATCAGTAGTGCTGTTCACAGGGGCCCCCCATTGGGTAGGTAAATCCACGTATACGCTCTTATGATGTTTTTTTTTTTATGGTAACTCTTGAAGAGGAACACACCGAATGGTTGTATCCCTGGAGGACTCGTTTGCAGTTGTGTCTTAGAACTCATGAATATGAAAATGTATGAATTAAAAAACATGTTACACGAGTGGGTATTATCAAGGGATGGAATAACAATGTGTGGGGATTTTGTGGCAAGAAGAAAAAAAAACTTCTCACCATGTAAAATTCACACCCAAATGGGGAACACCCCTAAGTGCGGCCATAAATGCGACATGCATTTTTTAAGCTCCCATTTGTAAATTTTTTCTTTTTTCTTTTTTGTACTCAGTAACATCTGGTGTGGTGGGAAGGAGAAAAGAAAAGAAAAAAAAAAATCACAAGGTGATTTTTCACTTCATCACACGTGGTTGTTTATTATTAAAAAGGGTCTTAATATATCTTTAAAGTGCAATGGCAATTTATCACAGGAACATATTTGTGCCTTGTAATCATTCTTTCGGAATACATTAATATTTACATTAAAAACGGAGTAGTAATATTCAGCAAAATGATCAATTGTGGTTAGTAGATTTGTAACTTTCTCGTTGTGTAAATTGGTTTCCCTTCTAAAAGTGGGATACATGCAATAATAAAGAAAGCAATTCAAGAGGTACCTTAGTGACAGGAACATCAAGTAACAATCTTGATCGATATTTCTTTCATGTAGGTAATTTGCATCAATATTTATGGATATTCTGTATTCATCTATGGCTTTGTTGGGGGAACGCTTTCTGAGATTACAACTCATAATATATTTGATGCATTCCTCGATATTAATGCATATTAGGTCGAACAAATTATATTTCAGCATTTCGTAGTGAAATAGGGGGTTCATTACTAAAGTCTCTTCCGTGGTACCTTCACTGAAATGGAGTTCTTCATTGTTTTCGTAAAGAGACAAAGATTTGCATAAATTAATGGTGATTAGAGAAAAGTATGGCATTTTACGCGGATTTTTTACCTTCTTATCAGCCATAATTTTGGCAGCCATATCTAGTACATTGGAAATCTCGTACAAATTGACTTCATTATCTTCACCATCAACATGAATAGCAACATTGTTGTTGTGTATTCGAACAAGCAAAGACTGCAGAATGTTTTGATAAGAAATGTGTGCTCCTTTCTTAATCATTTCGTTCATTAGGTGCATATTCTCAAACAGGTCTAATCTATTTATGGGCAGAATGCATTCATTTGCGTTGCTGATCGTAATATAGGGGTTTTCAAATCTGTAGCTTCTGATAAGTTGCATGAATCCAGGATTTTCTATTATTTGCCTTAGGGTACTATTATATTTACCCAATTGCGTCTCCTGCTCTGCTTCTTCCGTTTTGCAGCTTTCATTCGAAGTAGCGTCCGTCTGGTTACAAGTGGTTACACATTTTTTGTCCATTTTTCTTTTCGTCTCATGGGAATAGTACAGGTCTAAGTTGTAGTCATATCTCTTCAAGCTAGCGTGAAACTTGTATAGAAAATTCAGCGTCTGGGCACTTATGCTTAAATTATTGTTTATCCTAAGCACATACGCAATGGTTACATTGGGGTCATACTTTTTCGTGTACATAAGATAGCACATGGCGATTATTAAACTTATGCTGTTGACATTTCCCCTCGTATTATTTGTCATACTCTGATTGCATAGGATTAGTACATTTCCGTTCTGCATCCTTTCTTCGTTGGAAATATTCAGCATTGCATCTTTCTGTGATGGTCTTCTATCTGCACTAGCGCTTGACTTCGTCATATCCTGAGTTCCCTTTTCTAAATCGTTTTCTTTATGTTTATTTCCACTTAGAACCTTGGATTCCAGTGCGCAGCTATTTTCGTACAGATTAACATTTTGCAGAATGCTCTGTATAATGTCATACACCATTCGGACGTCTAAAAAGTGTTGATACTTTATACATTGACCTTTGCGTGTATTTGAATTTTCTACAATTCTGTCTATCACATTATATCTGGAGTATTTTATTCCTTTTACATTTGTCATCTCATGTCCTGAGTCGGTAAAATCGTAGACATATTTTATCTTCAAATGGCTGTTTATGAACGGATTGGTAATATGGATGAGAGTTCCCACGAAAAGGTTGCTACAGAATTTTATGGGGTAGTTAAGAGAACCTCTGAAATTGCTGATGGCTGATAAGGTTCTGTTAGGTCTATTTTTCGATATACATAAGAAGCAGTATTCCCTTTCAAAATTTTTATAGCCTCCCTTTAGGAAATAAAAGTTAGCTTTCACATTGGCGAAGTGGCTATATAGGAGGCGGTCATAACGGGAGTCGTTTTGAACCCTTTCTTTCGTATGATAAAATACTACCTTTGCGTTCTGTTTCAACCCGATTTCCTTCTTCATTTTGTCGATTAGGGGTTCGTTTGTTATATGTACAGCACTTGTGATGTGATACATTTGGAATTCCCTTTCCATCTGTAGGTCAACGAGGAAAAGGCACCTATTGTTTCCTTGGTCTAGCAACTGCTGGAAGTAGTTGTACAGGTAGGTTGCGTTTATCGTTTTGATGACCATCTTCGCGTACATAACCTCGATGTTCTCCTTTGAGCTACTTGGGGGCTCCTTGGCTGAGCAGTTTTGCGGGGCCTTCGTTACCTCGTCCTTTATCTCGCTTTTCAGGTCGCTCTTGAGCCCACTCGTGAAGCCACACACCGCCGAGTTGGACTCCGTCCGTGCACCCACATCAACCTCATTGGTCTCTTTCCCCTGGAGCCTTTCCCTTATGATTTCCTCTTTCAAAGCTTCAAAATCTAGGCATGGATACATGGTGGCTCCGGCTTACGCTTTTCCGGGGGTGGTCAAGAGGGGCTTAGTTCTGGTCTCTACGGAAGGTAGTATGGCACTACTGCTCTCGTACCACGAAGCCAATGAATGCGTACCAACTGGGCGTCTGTTTTGTGCCCAATGGGGACGGGGAAAACAGGAACGAACAAAATTGAATCGTGCAAATTTGGAGAGCGCAAATTTAGGTGTATAAAATGGGAGCACCAAAAAAAAAAAAAACGGTTCAAAAAGAATAAGCGGGTAAAATAGATGAGGGGCAATTTATGCAGAGTACTTCCCCATTTGTGCTTCCCTATGTGCGTTGCTTAAAAAGATGCGCTTTTCTTTATGCAGAGTTTTGAAGGTTCATGAAAGGGATCGTTTACTTTAAAGCACAAAAGAGGAATGAATTTTTTTTTTTTTCCTCTGCAATATAACGTGTTTTGTGTGGAAGAACGCCGTTGAGCGGATGCCTCTTAGCAGTATACAGTGTGAATATTTCTAAGCAGCGAAGCTTCTTAGCTGATAAACTGCGAAAGTGGGAAAATGCGAAACGGCAAAACTGCGAAACGGCAAAACTGCGAAACGGCAAAACTGCGAAACGGCAAAACTGCGAAACGGCACAACTGCGAAAAGGCGAAAATGGCAAATTGCTAAAGCGCAATGTGCAGAGTAGGGTAAAATTTGAAAAAGGAGAAAAATTAAAATTTTCAATATACTTTCGTATGCTTTTAGAAATTTGAAATTATTTTTGGTAAAATTTATAAAAGTAAAAAACACATTTGTAATTTTTTACGGCTTTACAAAAATAACGTGCAAACCGAGGTGACGCAAATATGAACCTGCCTGGCGGCAGAGACAACGGGGAAAATGAAGGCGCAAATGCCGTTTTCGTGAACAGTGATGGGTGTTCGCTTGTTTTACTTATGGAAGATAAAAGGGCTAGGAAGGACACCCAAAAAAAGGAGTACCTCACGAAGGATTGCCCCGATAAAAAGGAGTACACCGCGATAAGGGAGTACACAGTAGAAAATTCGTACCCCGATGAAAACGCGTACACCGGGTGCAAAGCCAACCAAGGGGAGACCCATAAAAACGACGTAAACGTTGTAGAGGATGGAAAATCCAAGAAAAACGAAGAGAGAATGATGGCAGGAATAATCAAGATCCTTGAGGAAATGAAAGAGAGCGATGATACATCTAATGCTGTAGATACTGGATTCAACCAAGGTAGTCATCAGCAAAGCCCTGACTGCGCTACGCAGGTGCAAAATGGAGACGAAGTTAACCGAAATACATATCCACGTAAAGACAACACAAAATTGCATGTAGGGTTGGATTACTCCACGTTCTACCTAGACACCCCATATAAAATTGTTAAGTGCCTGAATAAAGGTAGCCATTTTCTTTTCTGGGATAATGACACACTGTGTGGCCAGAATGACCAAGTGACAAAAGAGTTTAAAATGAACGAAATGAAAAAAAATAACTGCGAGGAGTTAAGAAGCAGTAGGTTCATTTTTTTTGATAGGGAAAAGAAACTACTCGTTCTAAAGTATAACCTCAGGAGTAACAGTTTTAATTACGTAAGTGAAAGCGACCCTATTTATGTGTACTTTGATCAATTACATGAAAAAAATTTCTTAGATGATAATATTATTAAAGAAAAAAAAAACTCGATTTTAATTTACCCCTACACATATGTGAAAATATGGGAAAGCTTAACTTGTTACATTAACGAGGAGGTAATAAATAAAATTGAGCCAGTTAATAAAACCTTTTGCTCCTCCTTCTTGGAAGAAGAAGAAGAAGAAAAAAAAAAAAAAAAAAAAAAAGAGTACGGATTTGCTTAGGGATGAAGATATGAATCTGTGCAACCAGCCCTACATGTTTTATTCCGTGATTCCGAGATATCCCGCAAGTAAGACTTACCCAAAGCAGGGGAGAATCGGCGATGGTAGTCGGCATAAGAAGGAAGACAATGTAGGGGTGAACACTACAGAGGGTGACGGAGGAGGCGGCATCAATATGGAGGGTGACAGCGTAGGAGGTGTCAATGTAGAAACTGAGGATGTGGCATGTTCGGGTATATCTGTCGTAGACGATGAAGTTGGTCCCGATGAGCCGCCCAACGACCCTCTGGACAACGCGAATGAGAGCTACTTCGAACTCATCGATGTAGACGCCAAACATAAGAAATATGTGCCGTCCGACTTAACCATCATCCATCTGGAGAAGTATTGGATTCTGAAGGAGATAATTCAGCAAGAATATACTTACGTGTATTATGGGAATGAAAAGAAGGAAGGCTTTCACAAGTTTGAAAATAAGCTTTTCTACATTTTGGGCGAATTTCAGTTTGCCTATATTCTCTTCCATTTAGGTTTTAATTATCAGTCCTTCGTTCAGTGGCGGAAGCTTTTTGAGCTCCTTTCCAATTCACAGCACTTGGTGACGAACTTTGCAGGTAAGTGGGGTTAGCAATGTGGGGGGGGTAGAATTTTTTCGCCCAAGGGGGGATAATGGCGGTGTGTTGTCTTCTGGGTTGGAAGAGCTTCGTGTGGAGAGCTATGTTTCCGTTGTTTTTTAGTATTCCCATTTGTGGACGTGTTCACTTTATGTGGACGTGTTCACCTTATGTGGACGTCTTCGACTTATGTGCACGTTGTCGCCTCATATGCACGTCTTCCCCTTTTGTTCACTTCTTCCCCCTTTAGACTTCTTCGAAGAAGCCTTAAGAGTGATTTCTATCCACCTAAGCTACCTGAGTGATGACTTTTTTGACAACACTGAAAATAGTTTTATTCTTTTTGGAGTTTACAACATATACGAAATAGTTAGTGGCGTGGGGGACGTGCATGGGGGCATAACCAACGTGATGAATTCCATAGACTCTATAATTTATGCAAAGCTGGGGCTACATTTACCCGACTTGTCCTTTGTGTATGAAGAGTTCCAGCCCACGTACGTAGATGACCATTAGCAGTACGAGGGACGGTCGATGACATGGCTAGCAAATTCTAGTGAAGTAAAAAGAAGAGGCTTACATAACCCATCCGTTGTAATACTTCCAAAATGGGTTGCACAACGCTGTTGGATTTTTCCTCCATGTGATATTTTTACGTACAAGAATTGTATGAAAAAATTGAGCGCGCAGAAGTTGGATAAATTTTGTTTTGTTCTGTTTTGTACTATGTTCGCGAGGAGAAATCCATAGTTTTTATCTTTTTCACTTTGTTTTGTTTGATTTGGTTTGATTTGTTTTGATTTGGTTTCCTTTCGTTTCATTTTGTTTCATTTCACTTTTTTTCCACTTGTTCTACTTTTTTTCAGTTCCCTTGGGGTTACATTTTCGCGTCATAGTATTTTACACCGAACAGTTTTTACGCGTGCGCGGAATTTGTTGTATGTGCAAAGATAAATAAATTTGGTTCAGCCGTGAGATAAATTTTAATTTCGTTCTGCTGAACGACGAATGTTCAAAGTTTCTTTTTTTTTTTTTTTTTCTTATCCTATATTTCTGTTGCATGTGGTATGCTATTTTTAGAGCATGTCATATGTGTGCCGATATTCGTAAGTGGCAAAGGCCACGCAGACGATACTACAGAAATGGAATGCAAAACCGTCGAAATTGCTACTATGATAAATTAACAAGTTGGAGAAAGCCCATACAGGAAAAAAAGCGAATTAGTTATGAATAAAAACAAGATATAATTGTTAACTTAACCCCGCAAACAATCGTTTCTTCTTTTTTATTTTTTCTACACCCCTTTGTATAAACTCTCATGGTTATACGTAACTGTATCTCTTTTTTTCTTTTCATTTTCCCCTAGATTCCTGCTCCCACTTAAAAAACAAACGTTGTGAATGTTTCCACATAGGAAATGCAGACGGCATAATATACATATGTGCCCACAATTTATAGGCACATGATTTTCTTTTTCGGTCGCTTCAAAGTAGCTAACTTTTGGCTGCATTGCGTTTTTTTTAAAAGAACATAACAGCTAATACAGCATACGTCGTGTGAAAAAAAAAATTAAGTAAATACCAAAAAATAATTGAGTATGAAAAAAACATCCTATAACTTGTTCTGTTCAGATGAAATTTTTGCCATGTAGTGAAGCCCATAAAAATTGCATCATCGCGTTATGTTTTTACATGAAAACATATGAATTAGCATACCAAGGATAAATGAAAAGGGAAAGTACGCTGTGACTTTTTCGTTTTGTGCCTCCATTTTTTCTCTTTACTATTTTTTTATTTGCTTATTTTCCTGCAAACTTTAACTGGAGAAATTAAAAACGCAAGCGCCAGGAAAAAGCGACATAAGTTCGTTTTATAAACGACTGTTTTAACCTCCGCTGGTATGCGTTCGTACACCATAGGATAGGAAGTGTTTACCCCCCTACCATATCCATGTACGTATATGCCTCTATGTTTGCGTTCTTATATGTATGTTATTATGCCCCCACGTTCATAGGGATAAAAAATTAATATATGCGCATTCTACGGAATTGCACTGAAATCCGTGGAGGGGAATATCCATTTATCGTAGTGTAAACTTTGGAAGAAGTCGAGTAAAAAAGCGCCCATATTATATTCGCTTACGTAGTTGTGGTAGGAAAAAGCGTAGCTCTGTGTATTTCCCCGCGTAACTCTCTATCGAACCATGCATGAAACGCATAAGGCGAGTACTGGCAGGCTTTCTCGCGTTAACACACCTGCATGTGTTCCCCTGTTAAATTACCCATTAGCTGCGTAACCCTATGTTTTCCGCGTTATTTTTATTCATCACGGTGTTCCTTACCCGTTTGTTTCTGCCATTGTTTTCTGGCTACACTTTTTGCCTTCATTTTCTGCCTCCACCTTTTCGCAATCGCCGTGCACATTTTTGTTTTTGATGCATCCGCAATTCATGCAGCTGCCATTCTGCGTCCCCAGCACGAACACCCATTTTTGAGCACCCCACTCCGCCCATTGTTCGTTCTTTGTTGGAGCATTCTTCATTTCTAGGGCATTTTTCGAAATATATTCTGTGGAGGTGTTTTATGCTCCACTTCGCGGAAGCGAGCAGCCCCTTGCCAATCGCCGACTCGGCCGGAGTGCCTTGCGAAAGCAGGGGATCCGACTGTGTTTTCTGAATATTGGGGGCGAAGATGCACGGCGAAAACGAGAACGAGCTGGGCAAGGAAGGTGCGAACGAGCAGGTGAATAACATGGAGGAGGTACACGAATTTCTGTTCTTCCAAAAGGGGAAGGTAAAGAGGGAGCATATGGAACTCGTTAAGAATAACATCGAGGATATTCTGAACGGAGGTAATGAAGAGCTGTCTGGGTTGCTTAATTTGCTGTTCTTCACGAAGGATGCCAATTATGTAAAGAACAATTTATGCATTTGCCTGCACCAGTTATCCAGAACACTGAATGAAATGAATGTAGAGGATATGAAAAAGAAGGTTTTTAAATATATATTGAAAAAGTTAGAATACGCGAAGTACAGCTATTTCGATAGAGCCCTTTTTTGTAAGAAGTTTTTATCCTTCTGTTCAACATATGAAGATATATCATCAGAATTGAGGAACGTAAAATGCTTCCATGACTTATTTGTGAATTGTTTATCATTCTTAGATAGCCTATTCTACAGTAATGATAAGTTGAGCAAAAGGAGTCACAAATTTCGTATGCTAAAGAAGGGGGCCATCAAAAAGTTGATGGTAATTTTTTCCAATATATGTAACATAGATAAGAATGGAAGGGGTGAGGAGAAAGAAGTGGGGAAGGCCAATCGATTGAAGGGAGAGGAAGAGATGGATTACATACTAAATGTGTACGCTAATGAGAAATATTTTTTCTATCTAATTGTAGAATCATTTGGTCTATTTTTATGTAAAAATAGCGAAAAAAACCTTTTGGATAAAAAAAAATATGTGGACAGATTTACCAACAATTTTCTTAATCTTTTAAATTCAAACAAAGAAATCTTGCTAAAGATTAATAGATCATTTAAGTACATTTTTCAAAATGGAAAGGATGATAAAATATTCCAGAGCATCCTCAATCATATTCATAGGTATGATGAAGTTGCCTTAGTCAATGCGTCTCCTTTTTATTACTACTGTGAAATGTACACCAAGGAACACTTTTACACTTTATTAGAAATAGTCATAAATATGAAGAAAAACAAAGATGTAAAGAATTGTAACATTCTATATTTTATCCTGTTTTATAAATTTCACATAAATAATGAGAATGACTCCGTTTTAAAAATGCTAATTGAAAGAAACCAAAAATTAAATATTGTAAAATTTGATGAGAAGATCATTTTTTTAAAAACCGCCACGTATTTACTTTCTACGAATAAAGGCAAAGAAATAAAGGACATTATTCTGGCAAACAAAAATATGATAACGAACTATCTGAAAAAGGATTTAAATGAAGATGTCAAATTGGAGTGCATAATATTTTTGCGAAGTTTGGGGAGTATTCTAAAAAATGACAAAGATGTGTATAAAACGTTTTCACCACTAGTTTTAGAAATTTTAGAAAAATATGGAAAGAATAACGACAAGTTTTTGCAGTACTGCTTGTTGTTCTATATCGATTTGGTGGATTCCATCGAGGTTAATGAAAAACTGCTTTCCACTTTTAAGGCCCACTTAAACTTTTGCTTAACGAAGCAGATTTTAAAATATATTTACGGGATCAACTTGTTCTTGCTTCTCTACATGAAGAATAAAGACGCCGCCTCTGGTGTTACCATTAACAACCACATTAACGAGATTTTGGGCAAAAGTTTGTACAACCAAAGTGAGCTCTTCTATCTGTATGATATAATTGAGTTGAAAAAAATTCCCCCTAATAAATTCTTCTTTTACGTTTATTCGCTTTTGCTGCTTTTGCACTTCCTGCTACACGAGGAAAAGAAGATACTATCAGAGTATGTGAACGAGATAGTGAAAGATTTTCCCACTTTTATTTACTTTGACCAGTTGGCCAAGTCGCACGTACTACCCGTGTTACTGGGGGAGAAGAACGCCGAGGAGGAAAAGAAAAAAAAGGCTCCTGCAAATGCGCCACACGAGAGTAAAAAAGGACTGAAAAAAGATAGCCCCCAAAATAAGAGGGACAATATGCATATGTTGACCCTTCTCACCGTGATGTGCATGCTGCAATACTTGGAAGAAAAAAAATTCGACAAAACTGAGTACCGGAAAAAAAATGAGAAAAAATTCCACACCTACTTGTTGAGTTTAAAAAGGGGAGGAATTATTAACGAACAGAACTGTGACTACCAAAATTACGTAGACGACTTTGACATGCTGCTGGACATCTTGCTCATGCAGAAGGAGATGTGCCAAGTGCTGCTGCACTCGTTCTATGTGTACCTCTACCTATATTGGAACAGTGGCCCCCGTTTTAGATACGAGAATGGGTACGTTCTGAGGCGATTTCTATTCATCCTTTTGTCTTATGTGTCCAAAATTGAGCTGGATCCCACGGAAAGGAGCAATTTCTACCTTCTCTTGTTGCTATGCTTATGCCACCCGTGCATATTTTACAAAAACATGAGGAGCTCCGTAAGTAGGAGAAGAATGAAGAGGTATATATGTGGTAAAATATTGAGCCACGTGAACCTAGATACGGTTATAGCTTTTATCGTGAAAGGCTCCGATTACTACAACAATGAGTTACACAAGAGTGTCTGCTTACATTTGATCGAGGTATTTTACATTTTGGAAATTTTACCATCGTGGAAGAAGAGGCAATTTGCAAAAGCGCGACAGGTGGACGGAAAAAGTGTGTCCATTTTGAAAAATAGGGCAGATAGCGCAATCGTTGGAGATACACTCGATAGGGAGAAGAAAAAAAAAAACAAAAAGGTAAAATTCGTATTTGGTGATGCGTCAAACTATGCAAAGAACTATTCAGCGGTTGCCAATGCGGATGATGGACGGAACTTGGTAAGATTACACGATCCTGAAGTTAAAAGAAAGCTAACTGGTTTGACAAGCAAACTGATCGACATGCTAGATGATAGCAGCGTAGAAAATGTGAAAGAAGACGAAATCGAAATTTGCAAATGTCCGTTTAATTCGCTGTACGTGGACAAGAATGTGTACCAGACTACCATCGTTGTCGAAAGCAAAAATGTGAAGCGAAATAAACATCTGTTCTCTATGTATGATGAAGAAACTGCGGAAATGATCATGGTGGAAGAGCTGAACATGAGCAAAAAGGCTACCGCCAGCAGTAGTACAAGCCCATCGAAAGATAAAAAAGGAAATAAAAGCAAGGGGCTAACGAAGGAAGACCTAGAAATGGAAGAAATAAAAAAGCAAAACGAGATAAGGATAAAAGTACACGGAATAGTGGAACGAAATAAATATATCCTAGAGTGTATTAAAAAAATGAGTTACATTGATGATATTTACGACACCAAGTATGTAAACCTGTTTATTAAAAAAATTATGGCTTTTTTAAAAAACGATTTAACTAGCAGATATTCACAGGCCTATTTGAATAAGATAATTCAGAACATGATAAGCACAAAATTGCTGACGTGCAGAAATAAAGTTACGAGATGTTTATACAAAATAAGTAAGTACAAAAAGGCAGACGAGTCAGCACTCATCATTTTCAGCTCCTTCAATAGGAATGAAAAGATATCCTACGTACTGACGTTATTCTTATTCCCCATAGTATTGCACAGTATTAAAATAATAAATGATAAGGACGTAACTCTGAATATTTTGAAGACGTTGGAAATTCTCCTCCACTCAAAAACTAAGATTAATGATGAAGATGCGCTCAAGTGTTTACAAATTTCGTTTGAGAAGTATCCCGATCTGGACGTAGAATTGGAGTCCTTCCTTGATAACTTCAATTCGTATTTACTAAGTGAAAAAAATGTAAAAGCGCTCCTCGAACTTTGCATAACGGAGAATAAAAAACGTAGGAACCTTATCATTAAATCCTTCTACAAATTTGTAAGAGATGAAAATGTTAAAGGGGACAAAAATTCATTAGACACCATTTTTAACAACGAATTTATACACCTATATATGAATATTTTTCAGAATGATTACAACGAGGAGACGCACAAGTGCTGCGAAGAAATGATTCGCACGTTGGCGATTGCTCCCGTCTCAGATCAGTACAAGCTAATAGATTTGCTGCAGAAAGAGTGCAGCGATTTTCAAAATATGATCTGTAAAACCATTGTGGGGTCAACAAATAGGAAAAAAACCAAGGAACTACTTTTGCAGCTAACATCCAAGTATATAACGTTTAAGGAGTATGGAAAAATTGGAATATTGAAAACGATTGAAGAGCTGGCCAAGGAGCATTTTGTTATCCTCATCGACGATGTAGAATTTATTTTAAATTTTCTGTTAGGTTTATGTTTAGAAGAAAAAAGCGACATTTCGAAAATTAAAGAGTTTGTCCTTACGTGCGGTTCCTCCGTGATTAACTCGTATAATGAGTATTTGCTTAAGAGTAAAAGAAAGGCAACCAAAAAGAAGGGGATCAAAAAAGCTCCAAAGAGTGCAACGAAAAGAAACTCCAAGGGGAAGAACAAGTCCCCAAATGGAAAACACCAATTGGGCGAATCCGAAGAGGAAAATTATGATGAGGAAGATGACGATTTTAAGTTTTACTCCTCAGACGCCTCTGTATCATCCACGGAGGTTAATAGCAGAGAAGATTCGAAAAATGAAAATAAAGAGTTAGAAGAAGCCTTCCAGAGGATTTACAAAATTCTGAACAAATATCGCGACAACAAAAAGAGCAACAACAAAAGTGCCGTGGACTTGGTCGTTGTGATGTATTATGGGTGGTTAGGAGCGAACTTGAAAAAGGAATCCCTTGTGCTGTTAAACAAGCTGATAGAACAGATTCTGCACAAAGACACGAACAATTTTACCCAGATAGAGATAAGCGGCATAATCCCTAAATTTATAGAAAATTTAAAAAGCGATAAGGAAGACTTCAATGAAGAGTACGAAGATGAGGAGCTTGAAGAGTTCGATCAAATGAACTCAAACATGACAAGGTCAGTAATTAGCAGGATGAACAGTGCGAATAAGAAAAAAACAGTCACATTTTACATCAACGGGAAGGTACACAGCTCTACTAAGGGAGCAAAGGGCGGAGCGGCCGCGGTAGCAGTAGATGGTGACAAAAAGGGTGGAAATGTCGCGGCATCTGGTGAAGGAAAAGAAAGCGAAAGTGAGACGCAAGTCGGGGGAGGGAAAAAAGGAAAGAAGAAGGCCAATGGGGACAAAGGAAACAACAAAAGTGGTAGTACTACTAGTAGTAGTAACTCCCTTAGTTGTAGTGCCCACACAGATGGACTGATTTACCTGGAAAGTTACGATGTAGCCATATTGGTAGAAAAAATATTTTCCATTATTCAAACGCACAAAGATTTGAAAGTCAGAAAAGGGTGCTGCCTACTCCTGGGAAGTGTTGTAAAAGCACACGGCATGCATATACTGAAGAGGTTCAACATTTTGGGCAAAATAAACTGCAACATATATTCAGAAGATGTAATTAAGAGGCAGAGTTTTTACCTTACCTATGGATATTTATTCAAAGTGTTGAAGATAAAATTCGAGCCGTATATTTTAAGAAACTTCAAATTGCTGCTAGAATGTTACAAGGATAACGTAAACAATATAAAGGTCCTTGGAATAAGTGTCATTGAAGAAATTTTAAATGACTTAGGTCAGTACGGATTGAAGAAGATTTTACCCTTTATAATTTTTAGCTTAAAAAATTCGAGCATTAGGAATAAAGACATCGTGTCCTATTTGGATACCCTGCATTTAATCATTTCTAAATTTGACATAATTTGCTATGTGGACAATCCGACGTTGGCTAATTTGGTGAACTTACTGTGCGAGTTGGTATCCGAAACGAATTCCAAAGTAAGGGAAATATGCATAAGGATCTTTAACAAATTGGAAAAGATGATACAAAATAGTGAAATGAAGAATATAAGTAGGCAGCTTCTGTTATGTATTTACTCTCCAAATGATAACCATTTGTGTGATTTTTTGGACCTTTTTTCTTCCATTTCGTTTCAATACAAAATTGATAACATTTCGCTCTCTCTACTGTTCCCAGTTCTTAAGAAGGGAATAAATAACATCAGATTGGATCTGAAGAAGAAAGCTTTGCAAATTTTATATTTCCTAATTTATCTGGTGAGCGATCAGTCGCTGTTCTTTATTTACTATGATAGTATATTCAAAATTTTAATCGTTCTTTTGAATGATGCGATTCCAGAGATAAGATTTTTGACGGCCAAATCGATTGGAAACATTTGCTACTTCTTAGATGTGAACAAAAAGCTCTACTACATTCAGTACATTTTTAACATCCTCATTAACACCGAATCGTCGGTAGAGAAGAGTGGCGTCTCTTTATGCCTATCGTCCATCTTAGCCAAGTGCTCAGAAACCATTGCTGAAAATTTTATATGTACTGTTGTGCGTCTCATCGATGTGAAGAAATACATCGAGCTCAAGGATAGGCATGGGAAGAAACTAAAGCAAAGGGCGGGGAAGATGATTAAAAGTGGGAAGACAGCAAGGAATAGGGGAGGAAAAAGGGACTCTGGAAAAAGCTCCAAATCGGTTAAAAAAGGCAAAGTCGCAATTGAATTCTCCACTGAGGACGACGAGGAGGATGGGGTGCAGTTCGTTGATAGCGACATGGAAGAAAGCGCCTATTCAACCGGAGAAGGGGAGGATGACGATGATGAGGAGGATGACGATGATGAGGAGGATGACGATGATGAGGAGGATGACGATGAGGAGGAAGACGATGAGGAGGAAGACGATGATGAGGAGGAAGACGATGATGAGGAGGAAGATGAAAATGATGAAGAGGATGACAAGGAGGATGAAGGCGACCGGAACGACCAGAGCAGCGGGGACGAAATATACACCCGATCGGACGAAAGCGAAGACGACGATTTTGAAGCGGACGAAAAGGGTAAGCCGTCCAAGGGGGGAAGGTACTACGAAGAGGATGAAGAAGAAGACGAAGTAGACGAAGAGGACGAAATGAACGAGGAGGAGGACTCGCTTACCGAAGAAGAAAGCGATAGTGATGATGACGTATTGAGCAAAAATGCTGAAAAGAAGTCGACCTATTTGAGTGGACTGTACTTAATAGAAAAGAACGAAGAGAATGATTACAACATCCATATAGATGACGATTTGTCAAATTGGAACCTGATGTATGATAAGAAAATTATGAAAAATGATAACTCGAAGGAGGGACTCATTGGCTTCTTCATATACATCCCGGAATGTGCCCCGAGATATACGGAAAAATTTTTAAAAAAAATATTGCAAAAGTTGCTACTCTGCCTTAACGACACAAGTGAGAAAATAAGAGACATAGCCCTGAGGTCATGCAAAGTGCTGATCGGCATATTCTCCAAGAACAACACGTCACTCATTTTAAAGTTCATCGAAAATAAGATATATAATAGATACTGGAGAATTAGAAAGGACGCCATACTCTTGCTCAATGTATTGATTGAAAAAAATATAGAAATTAATAAGGAAGAAAAAGACATAGAAACATTGAACTTGTTGCACGAGAGGTTTTACTTCATGTTATCCCTTATATGCATTATGAGAAATGATAAGAATGTAAATGTGAGGCAGACCGCTTATAGTATTTACAAAAACTACGTAAATAAGAGAATATTACAGGAAATGTGGCCCATACTGCTAAAAAAGATCACACAGAACCTGTCCTCTAGGAGTACTTCAAAGCAGGTCATCAGCGCGTCAGCATTGAGTGATTTAGTTTTCAAGACAGACTCGAGTAATTTGGAAAGCATATTAGAAAATATGGTCAACGAGTTTAAGACGACAAAGTACACCTCCATCAGAAAAGGAATCTGTTTCGGATTTTGCGAAATTTTTTCCAAAAATAGGTATCACAACTTGGTTGTTACCCATGTGCATAACATTATTTACATGATTAAAGAATTAGCAAATCACAAGAACACAGGAGATATAATAAAATTACTCTCCTTGTTGCTAAAAAATATTGACCCATTTGTTTTGAAGGGCATCATTAAGGACTTTGTCAATGACGTTATGATTGCCACTCAAAATAGGAATAGTCTGAAAAAGTTTACTTCCAAGCAGTATATCAGTTTTAAGAGCATTAAAATTTTCCTAAATGTGCACACCGAATTGGTCATTGATCTTATTGTGGACAGAGCATTGCTACCTCCGTACAACACTGCGAAGATGAAGCTCCTATCCTACGTTTCGTATGCCAAGTTGAGCAGTTACACCCTCCTATTTAGGAAGCTTTTGCACATTTTTATCAATTTGATACTGCGCGGGCTGAGAGAATTTAGGAGCCACGGCTTTGACATGAAAAACTACGCTGCGGTTGTGTCGTACAGCATGGACGAGAACAACCAAGGGGGAGGAAAAAAGGAAGTCGTTGCCTCTACGGAAGAGTTAAAAGTGCGGAAGTTGGACGGGGAAGAGGTGGAGGGAGAGGCCAATGAAGAGGAGGAACAGGTGGAGGAGGAGGAGAACGACGACGTGGACCAGGACGACATTGACGAGGCTGAAGGGGAAGGGAACAATGGAGCCTTCCAAACGGATATGAAAATACAAGACATTATAATCTCCCTTAAGTGCTTCCTAAAAAATATAAGCGACAGAAATGTGGACACGCTGACGGAGATCCTCTTTGAGGGGCTGCGAAAAAATGACAGCTCGGTGAATTTGTCCTACGCAAGTTTGGAACAATGGGGAGATGACGAAAAGCGCGAAGATGGGAAGAACATGCAGTGCTATAGGGCAGAGTTCAGCTGCACGCATGATTATGCCAAAATATGCAGCGGAGCCAAATTAGCCGAACTGAAAAAATTCGAAAGCACCAAGAGAAGTGGAAAAGTGAGGGAAATTATTCTGTCCATTTTTAAGTACATGCTGGATATCATAAACGAAAGGGACATCTCTGCACTGAATAACGACTCCCCAGCAGTGCACAGTTCGAATGTGACGGAGCCGAGTAATAGCCGTAATAAGGAAAATCTGCGAGGATACAGACGGGTGCACATACTACACTCGTATAGAATAATTACGTACATAACTATGATATCAAAGTATGCACTAATAGATATCAACAAGAAGGTGCTGGAAATCGCCTCCATCATATATGTGTACCTAATTGAGCTGATAAAAATGCTGGATAGTAACTGCGCCTACGTGGAGACCTTCCATGATATTATAAATAAGTACAGCAGTGATAGCAATTTTGTTCCCGTGCCAGATGGGAAATACGAAATTGTAGGGTTAAATATGAACAAGAAATTGTTCGCCTCCCTGGTAGGCATGTGCACAAATGTAATTTTGCTGTCCACAAATCCGAATGTGAAAATCAAGGCAATCGAAATCGTAAGAATGATATTTTTATATACCAATAGGGAGGTATCGAGTCCCCAAATTCTGAAGGTATCTGGAATTTTAATAAGAGTGTTAACAAATAAATATATTGATCAAGCCAAAATTTACATTTTCTCAACGTTTGAAGTCCTAATTAGGAAGGGCAGCAATTTTATCCGACCTTTGATTCCCCAACTGCAAACGTGCATAATAAAATCGCTGAGTAACGAAAAATTGAAAAATCAAATTATTCACATTTTGAATATCATTTCGGAGAAGAAACTTTCCAGGGTGGATTTGCTGATTAATGATTTGCTGAACAATATTAATATACAGACAAATCCGCAGCAGTCTATAACGATTTTTATGATTTTGTCCAACATTTTGAGCAGTCCAGATGTGAACATAAAAACCATTTTGAACAAAATTATTAACTCGGTAAGGTCAAATTTTGTGCATAGCAATTGGAATATATCCTTTTACGCATGCAAAATTTATGTGCTGTTAATATTTTTCCACCTGCCAAATAAGAAGCAATACTTGGAGTCCATCCTTGTAGCGGAAAAAGCGACGATCGATTTTAGCACCTACTATTTTGTTCTACACATAAGTGAAATAAATAATTTTTATGACATCCTGAAGAGGGAAAATATGACGGATTCTTTTAAGCAAGTGTATGAACATATGCTGAAGGACGAGATTAGCAGTTTGCAAAATATTGCCTACCAGATATTTTATAATATCTCGAAGCATGATGACGAGTGCGTTTCCTTTGTGTATGGCCTGCTTCCTTATTTTAAGCTACCCCCCATGACAGTCATTTCGGTTGAAATTCACCGGTACTATTTTAAGGCCCTGAGGAACATCTTTAAGAAATGCCCCGGCATTTACAAGGAAAGCGAGACCAAGTTTTTGCTCGTCTTGGATAACCTCCACCTGGCCCTGTCTAACACGGCTCAAGTGTTTAAATCACTGGTAGGGAGTGCGCGTGATGGGTTTTGCCACGACGATATGAATGTCCTTTTATGTGTGCCTATCCGGGGGCGCCACTTAAGTGCTTGGGAGAAATAGGATCCCCGGTCACCTTTTACGGTCGCCATTCCAATTTGCCACTTTTTTCCCCCCTTCTTTGCCACTTCTACAGGGAGAACGCTGCGCCAAGCACGTCCTCGAAATAAATGACGAAGATCATCATAAAGCCAAAATGGACTTCTTAAAAGACAACCTGGAAGGGACAAAATATAATCTGCTGCTTGAACAGGTAAATCGGCTTCTGGAGAAGAAACATAGTATAAAATCGGACTCGGAGTAGTCCATCTCTTTGGTACCATGTAACATGTGTATGAAAATTTCGTACATTTATGCCCCGTCATTCATATGTCCTCTGGCTAGGACCATGGGTGTAGTTCCATGGGTCCCTTTTCGAGGAGTTCCTAAGAAGTGTCCTCAGATCCTTACTCGAAAAGTGGGCCAGGCCGACGTAAAAACGTGCTAAGTTAGCCTACTTCCCGTTCAGAACTTCTGAACAACTTTTTTGTACATTAAATGTAAATCAGTTTTATAATTCACAAACGGGTTTTTAAAATCATCCTTTTTAATGGCCGCTTTCGGAAACGAAAAGGAGGACGCGAAGAGGGAAAAAACATGTCTACGTGTTTCCCCAATTAAAGGGTTTTACATAAAGGTGTGACGTTTTCCTCGTTGGGTTCTCTGCCCCTTGCGCATTAACCCAGTGGGTGATAAAAAGGCGCTACTTCCCCAGGGGGAAATGAGCAGGGGGGGGAGAGTGTACCCACCCCCCCGCACAGGTCCACCCCCAGGATTATCACTTAAGATGTATGCGCCCACTGCGTATTCGATTTCGCTGCGAAACGAATTGAAAGTTTTTAAAAAGCTTGTAGCGTCGGCACATCACGGCTAAATTGTACGCCTCGAGATAATCGTTGTTTTGAATTTTAAAAATGTGAAATTTTCTTATGCCCGCCTCGTTATAGACGCAAATGTAAGCATGTTCAGAGGAGTCGTAAAAGACGCCCCTATATCCACTTTTATTTTTATCAGGCACAATTTTTACATTTCTTGTGAGATGGTGATCATATTTTGCACTCAAATTGCTGCTCTCATTGATATTAAGTGGTGTTTTGTTAGCTCTCTGTTCCTTGTCGATTTGTTTGCTATACTTTTTGATGTACTGCTTGGACAGAATTATAGCTTTGTTCCTTGCTGACTCGAAGTTTCTTTTTTTTTTGCAGCTGAAACTTCTGAACACTTGAATCCCCTGTTTATAATAATAAACTAAGAACCTTTTCAGAACATTATCGTAAACTATATTTTTCCTGCTATTTTGAATTAGCCGAATTCGTTGTCTTCTCTTTTTCTTGGGATAAAAAAATTCCAACCTTTTTTCTGCACAGGTATTTATAACTCTCTCATCTTTTCTTTTTTTCCTTCTTTTTAATCCCCCACTTCTTCCACTGAAAAATTTCTTATCTTGGCAGAAGAATAAGTTTCCTTCGTTTAGCCTAAGTTGGGCTGTGCTGCCAACGATACACCTGTTTGTCCTGTATTGGTGAGTGTCATTTGTGTAGCCTTCTTTCTGCTTCGGATACATAAAAGTGTGGTTTGAAAAATTCTGAGATGTGAAACTTGTTTTCCTTTCTTCATCTTCATCTTGGTTAACACTCGTTTGTTTTATTCTAAATCGTGAAATGCTTCCAATGGGGTTGTTTAGGAGGCTCCCTTCGATTGACAATAACCTTCTGTTACGCCTGCATAGTAGGTTCCCCCAGAAGATATATGTAATCTCCCTGGTATAGAAGTAATACCTGGGAGTCATTTTTTCCTTTTTCCCCTTATCTGTGTTTTCATTTTTTTTGAGTACTTGTATTATGGGGGTAAAATGGGATCACGCTGATAGTTTTTCCCATATTAGCTGGTACGCTCCGTAGCTATTTGCGCGCACTGTTAGTGGCTCCCTCGGCTGGTGGATTATCCCCTGGGATGGGTGCGTGTAGCTGAGTACGCAGATGTACAGGCCATGCGGGGGTAGCATATGAGAATTGTCACTGCCATTGCTATTACCATTGTTATTGCTTTTCCTGTCGCTGGAATGTTCTCTTTTTTTTCTCCGTTTTTTTCCCCCGTTTTTTTTCCTTCGCTAAATGGCGAACGGGTTTGCCACACTGAATGCACAATTTTCATTTGCGTGTAAGGAACAAGCGGCTATCCGTGCACGTGTTGAGCGAATACATTTCCGCTCTTTGGAAGCCCCCTTTTTGCGTTTAAAAGAGGGTTACAATTTAGTGATTATTTCATTATTATTATTTTTTTTACTCCTCTGCGTGAAGAAGCAGATCGCCGCTTATCTACAGAATCCTTTTAATGCGGGTTGAAAACGTAAGATCACCTTTATTGACAAAATTAAACAGTGTTCCTGTGGCGCGGCACATACCGCCACGTGAATTGTTATAAGGGAAAACAATTTTGCAGAGAAGAAGAACCCATTCCCCCATGTTCCGAATATGTCCCAGAAGAGCCTACTGGGGAGATAGTACTTTACAGCTGCTGAAAAGCGTACTCGTGTTTTTTCGCCTTAGAGCCCAGTGTATGTCTGGGGTTAATAATAGCATAGCTTCCCTGCGTGGAATATTAACAAGGGTGTGCGCAAGTTTGTGGGTGTTTGTAGATATGGTGGACTGAAGGGAACTTCCGCTTTCTTTTCCCTTTGTCGTACCATATAGCGCTCTTTTTTGTCACATTCCACCGTTGCAGCGCTGCTCTGCCGCTCGGTATATTATCACCCCATTGGGAGGGCTAAAGGGGAGGAGGAAGCAAACATTTTTCTACTATAAACATGCGAAGAAATGCGAACGAGGGGTTCTTTAGACAAAGCTATTTTTAACGCGGAAGGGGACTCAACAGCAGCACCTTCTCTTCAGAGCAGTCAGAAATTAAGCGGGGGCGAACATGAAGAGGGACGTTTTATCATCGGGAAACACACACCCGCATGTGTACGCACCGATGTACATCATCGCGTATGTAACTGCTTTCATCTTTTGGGCCTCCCTCCCAGCGAGACCAAGGCGCGTAACACCAGAGGAAGCAACAGGAGAAAGCAGCACGACGAAGAAACACGACGAAGCAAAAAAAAAAGAAAAAAAAATGAACATTCAGCGACGTTAGAATGAGATTTCCAGTCATTACATTTAACGTTGTGCTTATAATTTTGACCCAACTTATGAAAAACTTCGGCAAAACATTTTTGTCTACATGTGGCGCAACGCAGGTCGTAAAAAATGTGTCCCACCAGAGGGGATGTAAAAGAATATTTCATTTTTTAACCACACAGAGTAGTTTTAAGCAGGGGTCTAAATTATTTATGACCAAGAAGTTTAAGTACAAATATAAAAACTCTCTGGAAAGAAGAATACGAAAGGGAAGAATAAGAAATGAAATAAATCAGAAATTAAAAAAAAAAAATAGTGCCTACATAATGATAACTGAAAAGTTAAGCAAATTAGATCCTGAACAGAAATACTTTAAGTACGACAAAAATATATTAAAGGAATATGAAAATATTAAGGATATTTACAAAAATAAAAAGTTAGGACGTAAATTTAACCAGTTCGATTATTGGTATTCGTCTAAAAAGAAAGAGGCCAAGTATAACTATAGTAGACATGTAAATTTTACCATCACGGAGAATAAGTTTAATTTTAAAAATGTCTTTTCGTACTTTCACATACTAGAGATTGTGCATGAGAAATTTAAAAACAACGCTTTTTATATTAACGGGCTGCAGTCCTTTATTAATAAGTACTACGACCCGATTACTCAGAAACGGATTAAGTACTACGACAAAATTAGGGAACAACTTGAGCTGAGAAAGAAAAATGGAGGGGATAAAACTGAAGAGACTCATCAGAAGGAGGGGGATTCTGTGGATGATGGCTATACAGGGGAAGTAAAACAGAATTATGTAGCTCCGACGCGTGGCTCATCAAAGAAGGAGGTGAAAAATGGTCAGTCTTCTCAAGAAGGTACACTAAAAAGTGAGGATAAAATGGAGTGCACCAAGATGCAAGCGAAAAAAGACACATTGACATCGAAAAAGGAATTCTTCGAGATGATACAAAAGAACCTCAGCGAATTTGAATATTCAAATGAAGTAAGTGAAGATTCGTCGTTTAAACTTTTCGGTTCGTCTACAAGTTGCCTTCTAAAGAAAAATGGCCCAATCGCCTATGACATAAAGAACCCCTTCATGAAGTCAAAGATGTCATCAAAGAGGAGGAGGTTTAAAGAGAGGAAGCTCTTCGATATTATCAACTTTAAGTGCAAGAATAGAAGGGAACGGCTAATGCAAACCGCCGTGCGGAAATTGGCCAAGAGGAAAATGAAGGACGAAAAGTATATTTTGGACCCAATGGAGCCTGCTTAATGGGGAGGTGAGCATCTCACTTGGATGGGGGAAGTACACACCTGGATGAAGCTCATAATCTGGATAAGACCACCCCTTTTTTTCTAGCAGCTCGCACCGTTCGCAATAGCGCGAATACTTTTGAAACTTTTCCGCCAGCGTCTTTGAGTGTTTAGGCGAATGGTCATCTTGGATAAGCCAGCCCGCAACTGGTTAGATATATTTATCTTATTTTATTTTGTTTTATTTTATTATTATTTTTTTTTATGTCTCGTTTTTTTGTACATGCATGGAATAGTGAGGTGGAAAGCGTCCCAAGTGGAGGTGGCATGCCTTCTGGGCATCGCTAATTCATCAGTTTGCACTCTGCAATTTGCAATCTGCAATTGTGCAGACCATAATTGCTTCTAATTTTCCTTTATTTTTTTGAGTCCAACGAAGCCCCGGGGAGTGTTTCTTTTCTATGAGGAATAGTGTCCACGTGGTGCGCACGCAAGTACCTACCACCTTGCCTACCTGCGCGTTTAAAGTCAAATGGTGCGATGCGTCACAAGAAAGTGCAACCGGGGAGATACATAGCACTAGAGAAACGGGTGAGCCGAAAACGCATTGGGGTACTCTTTTCAGGTTCGCCCTTGTTTCGGTGAGCAGTACGGATTTGCTCAAAAGGAACAAAAAAGACGTGGCGACATAAGACGTTTAATTCAAATTGCTCTAAGGGTTTGCCTTCAGCTGGTTTGGCTCGGCCAAATGTGCAATTTCCTCGAAGGGATTGCTTTCGGGGGTGAGACTTTTTAGTTTGGCACGAAAGGAGGGGCCATCGAGAGGGTAAATAGCGAAGCATGCGTGATCGAGCATGTGACGAAATAAAGAAAAAAAAAGAAACATCGAAGAATGGGCAGAAAATTGAACAACACGGTAATGTGTCTAGATGTAAATGCGCTGCTATAGGTTGGGAACGGGTGCTCCTCCGAATTCGCGTTTCACCGTCCTTTCACACCCCTTTCCTATCATTTGCCTCCCTCGCCTCAGTTCTCCTTCAGCTCGGAGAAGAAACTCTCCAAGGTGTTCTTTTTCTTAATTTGGGTGGTTTTTTTTTCCTGCGAGAAGAGGTTGTCCACACTTTGATTTTTCGTTACACCTGTAAAGAATTTATCGAGGAAGCCACTTTCCTTTCTCTCCTTATGGTCGCCCTGCGTCTTGGCGACATTGATGTACTGTTGGTTCGTTTGTTTAATGTCGGGGAGGTTTTTTTTCTCATCCTCAGACATGTGGTGATTATTGTTGTAACACTTTTCGTATATTTCTTTGCGTTTCTGCTCGTCGTCTTTATAATCTTCATCGTAATGTAAATTTTGTTCAAAATTTTTGTAGCTTTCATCTTTGATTTGTCTTTTTAAATATTCGTTTGTAATTTCGCTGTGCAGCGTGCTGTATTCGTCATCCACGAGACTTATAGACAGCATCATATTTTTAATATTTTTGAATAACCTAGACGTCTTGACAGCTAGTTTTTGATTTTTTTTATCATTTTTGAGTATAGCAAACATTCGCATAATCCACTTATCGTATAATTTGTTTAGCGATTTTAGGGTATCACTGGCACTTTTATTTTTGCCATCATTCATGTAGTCATAGTGTATGTTCGCAAATAGCTGTTTGCAGAATAGGTCGACTCTACAGCGCAATTCGTCGTACTGCTCCCAAGGTAAGGAAGTAAAGTCGCTATTGTTAGAATCGTTGTCTAGGGAGAGGTTCGGATTGGTTTGTATCAACTTAACAAATCTTTCATACTTAATTAGGTTGCATTCGTTGGTAAGGATGTATTTCTTCTCTACGTTGTAACCTAGACAGCTTTCTATCTTGTTCGACCTAGGTTCGATTTCATTTTTATTTAATTTGATAACGGAGATTTGTTCATAACTGTCAAAATAGAGAGGGTAGTAGTTGCATTCTCTGTAGGTAAGGAGATCATCATCGGGGTTATCATCATTCATGTCTTGTTCATTTTGTCCTTTCTCACCTGGATCCTGTCCTTCGTCAGTAGCAGTGTTTTTGCTACTACCTTTCATGTTTCCATGGAGATGTTTTACGTTTTGTCCAGCAGTCCTCCTTTCCGTCGGTTCTATTTTATTCAAATTGTTGAAATCGAAAACTGGGACCCAATCATACACAATATGGTTGGTGCTGTTCTTAAAAAGAGGGTATAATCCATATATAAAGTTGGATGTGTCCCTAACGTATGGAATGCCAAAGTTGGATATGTTGACCCAATTCAAATAATGACATGAAGGGAGAGACAAAACATCATCGTACAGTATCGTTATGTGATATGTGTTGTATTTGTTGGATTTCAAGTTGGTAAAATTTTCATTTACTTTGTAGAGGGTACAATGATATGTGTTGTTTATGTTATATGTGGAGACATCTTCAAAAATATATTGACAGGTGATCACAAAAAGGAGGTGCTCATATGCACAGAGAGCTACAGGTAAACCCTTCAAGAGAAAGGTGCTGATTATATATCCATAGGTAGAATAGACTCTAAGAAAATTACTAGATGTGACAATGGCGACGAAGTTATTTCCGTTGGCTACTCCTTTTATGAACTCATCATTTGGTAGGTATTTGTTCCAAATGACATTATCCCTCAGATTGTGAAAACATAATATGCTGTTAATTTTTGAGAAGGATTTTTCGTAGGGGTTGGATGCTAAAGCAAATCCGTAGGCACTTAGTGATGCAGACGTTACGTTGTAAATATCGGTGATTTTTTTCTTCCCAACATCTTCCCCTCTGAAGAGGTATAAATAAATGTAGGTCTTGTTTCCTTCTTTTTTCTTTGTTATATGTCCTATATCATTCCAGAACATACACCACTGATCATTTATATTTTCTGGTTCTTCACATAACCCTGGACATAGTACAATAAAATCGTCATGATTAATTTTTGTATAACCATTAATCTCCTTTTGCAGCAAATCTACTTGATTTTTTAGTTGTCTCAGTTGATCAAATTTGTCCTTAACGTAGGTATTAAATCCGGTTACGCTTTTCTGGTCATCTTCATTATCGAACAAATAATTTCTGTCTGCAAAAAGTGGGTCGGCATGGCGTCCTCCTTTAGTTCTATTCCTTATGACATCTTTATTTTTGTTTATAAAATCTTGTAAATTGTATACCTTCGGATTGTACTCATTGTCTTCTTCATCTCGGTTTGTGTGTCTCTTTTTATTATTCGAAATATGTTTCTCATTTTCGTCACTATTGTACTGGTAGTCGCTGTTTCTGTCTGCCTTCCTACCTTCGTAGTACTCATCCGCCTTGTCTTCCCTCTTGTTTTGCGCATCTCCATCTCGATCCCGTGCAACTTTCTTATGTGACATGTTGATAAAGGTGTCTTTGCTTTCTCCATCGTCATCCGTGAATATTTTCTTTTTCCTCTTTTTTACGTTATTCAAATGAAGGTACAGTTCGTCCGAATATGAATCGATAATCCTTCGCTTATCATTACTGCCTGTGTGTAACTCGTTACTAATTTTATTTCGCTGATTTAGAAATGTCGACGTGCTCTTCACTCTAAGTTTTTTCTTCCTCTCCATGTGGTAGTTATTGTTGTCTTTCAAAATATCAGCAATGTTGTTTATGGTTTGCTTCTGATGAATTGGTTTTCCAGCAGTGGAACGCTCCCAGTTGGAATCATCATTTTGGTATTCCTCTTCAGCGCTACTTGCCTCCTTTTCAGAATCGTTCCACTCGATTTTTTGCAAGATTTTTTCCCCCAGCAGTTTTACGTTGGCTAAGTGCTTCTCCTGGGCTAGCATTGACATATGAAGATGGTCATTGAAATAGGACAGATCAAAGTGGGAAATAAGATACTCGCTCTTAAATTTGTAGAGGCAGTACTCCAGTTCGAATTCCCACACGCAAAAAAGGTAATCGGCGCAACTTAATGTAGTCAGTAAAATTACGTTGTCCGAAATGGTGATGAACTTGCTGGCGTTGATAAAAGACTCGTGAATTTCTGCTCCAGAAAATTCGTACACCTTGTAGTTGTATATGGTTAGGTACCGCACGGCCTTTTTCCCACACAGGGAGATGCAGTGGTTTTTTGGATGCCAGTCGCAATTCAGAATATTTTTGTAATTCTTCGAAAGCTCGAAGATGTTCTTCACCTCGACACAGTTGTTTGCGGTGGCGTCTCCGCTGTTACAACTCCTATCACCATTGTCGCCGCTACCCCGGTTGTCGCCTCTACCCCGGTTGTCGCCTCTACCCCGGTTGTCGCCGCTGCCCCCGTTGTTGCTGCTTCCCCCGTTGTTGCAACTCTCTCCAGTGTCCTTCACTCCACTTGACTCCTGTGTTCCCCCCTCTGCCTTCGTATCCTGCTTGCCGTCCATACAAAGATCCTTCTTCGAAATGTCATATATGTACATATTGATGTGGTTGAAGACGGCGATATTTTGATAGTTCGTGCTCAGGCAGAAATTATACGCATACTCATGCGTCGGGAGCTTAATAGAACTGAGGTACCTGTCCCTGTACAAAATTAAGGTGTAATCCCTGTAAAGAATTAAGCAGTTCAGATTGTTATTAATTTGGAACATTTCCATTTTAACGATGTCGCATACTTTCCTATATATTAATTTTTCGTAAATGAACTCCTTGATAGTTTCGTCTTCTGAGAAGATACACACATTTCCGTGTTCAAAGGCGATGCAGACGTGGTTTGTTGCAGCCTTGGAGGTGTCCCCTTTCATTCCGTGGTCATCCGCTAACATATTGCTAGCGCTGCGCGATTCTCCGGTAGTTGTTGCGACTCCATTGGGAAGGTTATCACTATGTGGGGCACCATTACACGAATCAGCATTGTTGGGGTTACTCTCATGTGAGTTCTGCGAGGTTGGAATTTCTGCAGGTGGGTTGCCAATCTGACTGATTTGGTCCCTTTTCCCTTCTGTAGCTATGCCATTATCATTGTTGAACGAGCGGATGCCCGTTCCTCCAAAACGGGCTTCACTAATTCTGAGGGGGCACTTTAACTTTACGTTATTCGAAATATACACAATTTTTTCATTTTTATTTATATAATCGACGCCGTAGATGGCAATATTTTGTGCGCGAACCACCTTTTTTATTTCCTCGTATGTATAAAATTTTATTTTGTTTCCGCTGACCAATAGCAGTTTGTTGTCGTAGTGTCTCAGGAGGAGAGCCCTGTTGATGTCTGCGAAGAATAAGTCTTTCATTTTGGCGGGTTGGTTTTTGGAGGACTCCTTTGGAACTACGTATGCTTCGGCGCACAGAAGAATAGAACCGGGCGCCGAAGCGCAGTAGCTATAAAAACGGGTGTCCCTTGGGGGGGTGAAAATCCGATCTGGTGATGGGATCAAATTGTTTTTTCCAAGTTAAATCACTTTAGCTGCCGCTGCATAGCTCCTATTACATAGTTTCCATTACATAGCTTCCATTACATAGCTTCCATTACATAGCTTTCATTACATAGCTTTCATTACTTAGCTGCCACTATATCGCCGCAACCGAGCTCATTCACATGTAGGGGACTGCCCCTCTGTGGCTGAACAAGTTTGATCCCAATAGCACATGTGCTAAGGCACGCTGTGGAGCTTTTTTTCTTTTCGCGAAATTTCCCCCTCTGCGTAAACGTCATCCAAATCTTTTAGCACACTTTGGAGTTTAAAAATAATACAGCTATAATTGCATTTCTGGGAATTCCACAAAAGCATCTTTTTCTACTTTTGTGGGAAACATTAAATGCTTGCTTCGCACGAATAGGGGAATTTTTACATTTATTTTTAAGCAAATTAACAGATCAAAAAATGGTAATAAGTTGGTTAACTCGGTGGCTTAAAAGAAAGAAAAATATGCATACGTACAATTATATATATATATATGTATATATACAAATGTGCAGTGCATATGCTAGCGAAACAATAACTCAAGTGCAAGGGAAACATAAAGTTAAGTGACCTGCACAATTGTATACATAAGTGAATTTCGTTCATGCAATGGTGTATGAGTCATCCGACAATAATATGGGGCTATAACACAGGGCAGCTGCTTTCCTTGCACAGGTGAGAGAAAATCAAAAAATGAGAACACCAAAAATGAAAAATCAAAAATCAGAAAATAAGAAATAAAAAAGATTACATCTTGTGTTCGCAAAAATGCAGAATGCGCGCAAAGGTATACATACACATGCTCATGCGCGGATACGAACAGCCAATTTGTTATCCCTAGGGGGAGAGACGCCATGTAGTGTGTATGATGCTTTTTTTAAAAACAAACATGCTGTAGCTTAAAAAATGTTAGCAAAAGAGTTAAAATTATGAGGTAATATGATTGTACAGGGGTGGGGTGTATAGAACAAAAAATTTTCAAACAAATAGGACGCCAACATTTGAGCATATTTTTATGTGTGCGCCCCTACATGCACGCTCGCATATGCATTAGGGCGTATACATATGTACAACACGAAACGTGGATTCAAGAGGGAGGGTGAAAAAAAAAATTGTTCTGTGTAAGCATAATTCAAATTATCAAAAAAGGAATGACGTAGGAAACTCTGTAGAGGATTATCAACATCACTCGTCTGCGTAATACACACTCTTTTCCTTGTACCGTTGGACCTTTTTCTAAAGGATGGGGGAATAGCAAAAGGGTGAATCGGGGTAGTGGTAAGGTATTAAAATGGTACAAGCGAGAGTTGAAAAGGAGAAAAAAAAAAACCACGTTTATCTTTCCTTTCTGCTTATACATGTTCGAAGGGTCTTTACTTACGACCTTTTTTCTTTTTTTTTTTTTCCATTTATCGTGATTACCTTAAACGTTTCCCGCAGCTGTGACACATCGGACAGCAAACTGTTCACATTATCTGAAAGCAACTTAACCCCTGCATAACCCTTCGGCTTAATGGTTATTTCGATCGTGTTTTGCAGAGGATGCGGTTGTCTATATGCTGCGAACGTGACCTTGGGGTCTTGGCAAAGTGCCCTAATGAGGGGAAGAAACAGGTGATTGTCTGGCAGGGAAAGCTTCTTTCCGTCATGCGTGGCGGCACATATGCGAGAAAGCAAGGGGTGGAAGTCGACAACACAAACGCGATAAACACACATTCGAAAAGGACACACAATAAGTGCACACAATGTGCGCGGCTGGATGTCCTCCCTTTTCTGAACGCATCTTACTGCTTTATCAAATTCCCTATGGTGTGGTCCTCCAGTTTTATGGTAAATATATTGCAGTCGCCTTTCTCCGATATTTCGCAATTGACTCTGTCGACATTTGAAATGCAAGCGGTGGGGGAAATGAGCAGGTTTTTTTTTTTTTTTCTTGGAAGATATTACATGAAAGTTGTTCGTATGGTGGGAATCACACTTAAGTGCTAACGCCAGCGATTAAGTTTGTGGTGATGTGCACGATCACGTTAACGAGCTCATGAATGAGGGTCTCAATTTCTCTCCTTAGCAAGTCTCCCAATTTGAAAGTACAAAAGCGGGGGGTAGCATTTCGATGGAAATCATTCAAAGCGCGGCAGTAACGAGCAACATGGTTATGTAGAGTTAGCTTAAATAATCTAGATTAAAGGACGATTTTCCAGATGTTTTCCAAGCGCTCTGCGCAGAATACATTTTCGTGCAGCTTTCGCCCTAAAGCGGCTTTCCCCTCTTTTGTTGATTCGTTTGCTTCTACAACGCACTCTCTCCACACTTTCATCAATATATGCACATTCCACTTCGTTTTTTCAATTACTTTTTTTCTCCAGGCGGCAGTACAAGCAGGTCGATGTTTTCTGGCTTATTTGATAAGGTTGGGACAGACATTTTTGCGATTTTTTCTTGTTAAGGATTCGTGCGACTAAGATGAAGACTGCGGGTGGAGACTCTACCAGTAGAATTAAATCCACCTCATTATTGATTGTTTCTTTTTTTTTTTTTTTCCTTAATTTTCGAAGAGAAGTAATGTCACGATTATTCTTCCTTCTCCTGGAGGAGATGTTTCAACCGAAATTTGCGCAGGAGAAACCTTCGGGTCACTTATTGCGAACGGGACGAAAGTAAAATGTAGATACGTATGTAAATAAAGGAATATTCGCTAATACCTTACATAATTTGTGAGAAAGGGAGTAATTTTTTTTCACGTTAATGTAAAATTATAATATTACTACGTGATAAAGGCCCTTTTATTGTGGAGGGGGAAAAAAACAGCGTTTTTTTTTGAGCATGCCTAAACAGGGAAGGAACGACAAACTTTTCAAATTAACGAAGTGGGTTAGGAAATTCCCAAGAGCATATTTCTTTTTATAAAGAAATGTAGTCGCAATCTGGAATTTTTTTTTCCCTTTCACTTGAAAGGGCATACAAATTGTGAAGTACAAAAAGGGATGCCCTGAAGCGGCGAGCTTTCTGCACCACGCAGTGAAGTTGTCATTTTTCCCCAAAACTGTGCGGGCGCTTGAGTACGTATTTATATATAAGTGCACATATTTATATATATATAGTTGCATTATTCGAACGAAGGGGCAGTTTTCACCTTCCCCTTCTTCTGTGTCGGAAAACTTTGTGGATGTTAAGTGAACATGTTTTTTCCTGCACGCCTAAGTTCTATGCACAAAAATGTAAGCATAGGCAGGCGCTTATGTGTTCCTGAATATTTCAAGAGGGTACAGCAAAGGGGCGAAAAATGGGGAATTGAATAAGCAGAAAATGAACCAGCAGGTGGTTATGGAAAATCGCGAGCTACCTAATTTTAACACGAATGGAGTTTTTAACAGGGCAGAAAGGTGTTCCACATATGGAGGATCCATGTCAGTGTTTGCAAATTTTTCGTTTCCTCTCAGAAGACACAAAAAATGTTCATAAGAATATTATAGACTGTTCAAATGGCCCTATTGGGGGAGGGAGAATTTTGTTGTATTGTCCTTTTTTTTTCAACAATGTCAATGCAGAAATATAGCAGGGAAAAGGAAACGGAAAAAAAAAGGCGTTCTTCGTTTTTACAAAATAGTAGGGGTTCCTTTTTTTTAAAATTTTATTTTCTATGTCCATGTGCTCTATTTTCAGGAGGAGCGACTGTGTGAAAATGTATGGTACTTTTTTTAAGGAAATTTTTTTTATTCGTTTTGGTAAAGTATTTTCCTTCCCATGTGTCTATTCTTGAATCTATACATTTGTGATGGCTAACAACAAAGGACGGTTTAAAAATGCCATTTATTCGATGGCGCTTTGTGCAAGAATTTCCCCCATTTGTATTGCATCAGATGTGTTTGTAAACGGTCTTTTTAAGAGGAAGCAACGATAGGCGTTTTTATCATCATTTTTTACGTTGAAGTGGAATGAGAAATTGCGTGGGAAATTAAGGAACGGTGAACACACTGGTGCGATTTTCTCTACTCCACTGGCGCGTTAAGCATACCGCGCATGTGCGCATAGTATATATAAATATATATGTATATAGATATGTATGTAATGCATACCTGTGCGCCCCCTTTGGCAAAGTCGTTACACAGACATTTCGGCGAGCGGCTCTCACATGTTCGCGGAACCTTTTGCGTTTGTCCCCTTGTATATATATGACTTCACGAGGGAAAACATAAACTTCGAAATTTTTGAAAACATTGTGCCGTCACGCACAAGGCGATCTGTTTGTGTATATACATTTTACGTGCGCCCCTTTATGAGGCACGTAGGCCATAACTTGTTTCACATGCACTGTTTCCACTGCGAGGCTTACTTCACCTCGGCAGAATTGCGAATATGTAAATGTATAGGTCAAGACATACATGCATACGTATGGTCAAGTACGCGTGTTCGTACTCACTTATCTACACATGCAGAAATAGTCGTATTCGCCAGTGATTTCCTCGAGGGATAATGCGCTCCCCAGACAATAGCACTCCAAACTTTTTACGTGCTGGGAAGGGGGTGATTACAGTCCTTGCGGATAAGAATATTTATATTTGTACACTTATGTTTAATTTTTCTGTACGTTTTTATGAGCGTGGGCTGTGCATGCATATGTACATGCAGACGCTTCTCATGTTATGGAGTGGTACCTTCAACTTGCATATACTTTCAAAATTTGCCTAAATTGCAGAAATTTAAAGATATGCACAAATTTTAAGAATTCCCATTTTTACGAATACCACGCGCATTTGACAAGAAGAAATGGTTACGTAAAAATTAAGAAGAAAAAAAAAAGATACACCAAGTATAGACTTAAACAGTTCGATTTAGTAGGAAACTCTTCTCTAGTAGACTTTTTTTTTTTCAAAGGGATGTTAAGAATTAAAAATGCTTTGCTGTTTTACGACTTTGTTGTATTGCCATTCGTTTATTAAAAACTAGGGTTGTACTTTAACTTATTTAATTCTTTATTTGTTCTAGGTAACATTCGTCTAAGTAGTACAAATCTAGGAAATTTTTTTTTCCGCAAAATTTCGTAACATTTGTGAATAATTATGTGTTTTTTTTTTTATGTCCCATTAAATGTACAATCTGGAGTAAAAGGGATATAATTGTTTACAGTAGAGATAGAAACCCTCATCTGACTTAACAACTGAAGAGCAAATTTTTGCCCCAGCTTTTGTTTAAAAGGAGGGAATTATAAAGAACAACATAAAACACAGTAAAGCTAAATAGATGGAGAGAGGGCGAAGTAGCTGTACATATCTCACAGAATTGAAGAATCGTAAGGGAATAGAAATACTGCCCAGTTGGGGACAGCCCTACAAAGGCCCCTTCATTTGGTTGAAGGGCACAGGGAGGCAATGCAAAGAAGAAGGCTCTTCAGGCAATTATAGTTCCGTGGAGGCACCACACCGTAAATTATAGTTATATGTACCTTGGGCCTTATAACAAGAACGTCGAAAGAGAAAAAGGAACCTACAAAAGTGCATGTTTCATGTTTTTCAGTATATCTACCAAATGTAAGTATAGTGAAGATCCGTTTTGAAAAGGGGTCAAACTTAAAAGCGCCACGAAGTTGTGCTGACACGGAGGTGTACACTTTTTTAACCTCGCCATTTTACTGTGTGCCTTTCCTTTCTTGGCCTCATAAAACTCACGCTTCAGAATATAGCCAAGTAAGAAGCCGTATGGAAATTCCCCTGGTGCTTATGCACGCAGGGGTAGATGCAGACGGGGGCCAACTTTTCCTTTCAGCTTGATAATTTATATTTTTGGAAAAGAGGGGTAAAAAAAAAAAAAAAAAAAAGGAAACAAACTAACTGCGCTAATTGGCGAACTAACTGCGAAGCGAATTGTTAAACCAGGGGAGCTACTCGTCAGAGGGGGGAAAAATGCAAGGACCGGAAAACCAAGTCAACGCACGAAATGAAGAACCTCACAAATAAGACCAAAAAAGAGGGAGAAAACATCATTCTAAAGTTAGGGGACAATACATTAATAGAAAAACTGGAGTACCAGATAGTACCGAAATATTTTTTACTAAACGATGACAACCATAAGGATGTCTACTGCTTGCTGAAGAAAACGAATTCGAAGAAGAGCGAAAAAGAGATGATGAATGAGGAGAAAGAGAAAAAATTACTCAAAAAGAGACAAGACGAAGGCGAAAATTATGATGGGATACTCTTTTCGGTTTCAAGTCATAACAACAGTGGTGTGTGCAAATTGGGACCGCTCCATTCCTTCCCCAGTTGTCATTACATATGTGAAGAAAGGAATGCTGCTCACCGGGGGAGCATCAAAGAGGGGGATGTAAAAAGCGTTCAAAGCAAGAAGAACAACAAAAATGCTATTAACCAGTTAGGCGAACAGAAACATATGTTGGCGAACCAAAACCCTGTTCATCTTACTCCGAATGGTAAATGCGTGGAGAAAACAAAAAATGACAACACACATTTCAGGAAGGAAAATTTTGTACGTCTATTGAGAAATTCTTCTAAAAAGATTCTATGTTCAGCTGAAAAAGTGAAAATTTTTAGAAACTTATTTTTGAAAATAAAAAGGAAGGATGAAAATTTTTTTTTCGATTCAGAGGGGGGAGGAGACAGCCTCGGAAAAAGTGTAACAGGCGAATGTACTCCACATGAGGGGTGTGTGATATGCCGAAGGGGGGAGGAAGCAGCGGAGGAAAGGGCGAAAGAACATAGAAGAGAAGAAAACAAAATTTTTACGATATCTTGTACGGACAAATTAAACGGAAAAGAAAGAAGCACAGGAAGGAGGGACCGCGAAGCCTTTAGCGAAGACTCTCCCAAAAATAACAGAATGAGAAAGGAAGAAAACGACCTAAACGATAATTATGATTCTGTCACAAATGAAAAAGAGGAACACAAATACATTTTAGATAATTCCCTAGATGATAACACGAAAGAAACGTATCCTGTAAAGTATGAAGATGAAAGGAAAAGGACAAAAATTTTGGAGAAAACTTTAGAGGAAAGAAAAAGCAGAATGAATAAGCTCCTTCTCTTAAACATCGCAAGAGATAGGCCATTCAAGCCAAAGGAAATAACAAAACTGAGCAGGCTGAAAAGGGCTACCGGTATAATCTCGTATGCAGAGAGATTTCCCAAACTGGTATTGCAGCCAAGTGGTGATGACTCTACCATTGAGTGTTACCCTTCAGACATGAACATAAAACAGTGTGGTGTCAGGGGGCACCAGAGGAGAATCGCTTTAGAGGATAAAACGGAAGTTGCTCCCAATCGTAGAAATGAAGAACAACTAGGAGATGTTATAAGGAAGAAAAATGCCGACTTCATTTTGTGTAACAATTCGATAAAGGCAGATAAAGTGGACAAAATAAAGATAAAGGGGTTGCACATCTCCAGCAGCAATAAAAAAACAATTGCACC